CTATTGTCAATAATGCTGCAGTGGACATGGTGCATATATCTATTCAAATGAGTGTTTTCATGATCTTTGGATAAATACCCAGAGTGGAATAGCTGGATCATATGGTAGTTCTATTTTTAATGTTTTGAGGAATCTCTATACTGTTTTCCGTAGTGATGGCACCATTTTACATTCCCACCAGCAGTGTAGGAGGGTTCCCTTTTCTCTGCATCCTCTCCAACAATTGTTACTTTTTGTCTCTTTAAAAATAGCCTTTCTGACAGGTGTGAGGTGATATTTCACTGTGGTTTGATTTTCATTTCCCTAATAATTAGTGATGTTGAACATCTTTCCGTGTGTCTGTTGGCCATCTGTCTATCTTCTTTGGAAAAATGTCTGTTCATAGCCTCTACCCATTTTTTATTCAGGTTGGTTTTTTTGTTGTTGAGTTATATGAGTTCTTTATATATTTTGAATGTTAACTCCTTATTGGATATATGATTTGCAAATATCTTGTCCCAGTTGGTAGGTTGTCTTGTTGTTTTGTTGATGGTTTTCTTTGCTGTGTAGAACCTTTTTGGCTTGATGTAGTCCTGTTTATTCATTTTTGTTCATTTGTTTCCCTTCCCTGAGGAGACATATTCAAAAAGATACTGCTAGGACTGATGTCAGAGATCGTACTACCTATGTTTTTTCTAAGAGTTTTATGGTTTCAGGTCTTACATTCAAGTCTTTAATCCATTTTGAGTTAATTTTTGTGTATGATCTAAGATAATGGTCTACTTTCATTCTTTTGCATGTGGCTGTGCAGTTTTCCCAATACTATTTATTGAAGACTTTCATTTCTCCATTGTATATTCTTGGATCATTTGTCAAGAATTAGCTGTCCATAAATGTGTGGGTTTGTTTCTGTGCTCTTGATTCTCTTCCTTTGATCTGTGTGTCTCTTTTTCTGCTAGTACCATGCTGTTTTGCTTATTATAGCTTTGTAGTATACTTTGAAATCAGGGAGTGTAATCCCTCCAGCTTTGTTTTGCTTTCTCAGAATTGCTTTGGCTGTTTGGGGTCTTTTATTGTTCCGTATGACCTATGTGTTGCAAATTTGTTTACTAAGTCTGAGATTTGTCTTTTAAGTTTATTGAGTTATTTGCTATTCAGAAAATATTTATTTTTAGATAGTCAAATCTGTCGATCTGTTTTCACTTAAGATTTCTAAATTCTGAAACATGCTTAGAAGGGCCTTCCTCATTTGTAAATTATTTAAAAATTATTATGTTTCTTCTAATACTTTCATAGTTTTGATTTTTATATTTAAATATTTTATTTTTCTGGAGTTTTTTTTTGTGCAAAATGAGAAATTAAAACCTAAGATTTCTTTTATTGAAATGGACAATTTCTTGTCTCAACAACATTTATTAAGTAATCCACCCTTTCCCCATTGATTTGAAATGCTACCTTTACCGTACATAAAATTTTCATGTATAAATGAAGCAATTTCTGGAGTTTAGTATCTGTTTTATCCATTTCTTTATCTGCTTCTTAGCCAGTATCACATTATTTCAGTCACTTCAGCTATGTAATAATTTTGAAATCTGTTAGGCTAAAGTTCCCCTCTTCCCCATTATTCCTTTTTCTCAGAATTTTCTTGCCTGTTCTCTGCCTTTACTCCTCTAGATACACTTTAGAATCAGTTTGTCAAATTTATTAAGTTCCCTCTAAATTCTTTTGGTGTTAACTGACATCACAGATCTGGCTTTAATGATGTTTTTCTTTTTGTTTTTGACCAATGTTTTATATTTCTAATTTTCCTTTAGTGTTAGGTTTAAAATTAGGGTCAGTCTGTTCCCCAACCTTAATTATCTCTTTTTGTGTTTCTTGCTTAAGTATTTTTGCAAATTTTTGACTTTTGCTTCTAACATGATGTATAAGAGATGCTCTCATCTTAAATATTCAGCAGCATTAAGGTCATTTTTAAAAACCATCTGATAACCAGACTTTTTCAGGGCTGTGTTCTTCCTCACATGGGTCTGTGATGTGTTCCTCTCCTGCCTGGGACTGAGTTTACAGCACATGGCTATCAATTATAAAGCTCATGGCGGCCTGGTGGCCAAGTGGTTAAGTGTGAGCGCTCAGCTTCAATAGCCCAGGGTTTCGTAGGTTCAGATCCTGGGCGCGGACATGGCACCGCTCATCAGGCCATGCTGAGGCAGCGTCCCACATGCCACAACTAGAAGGACCCACAACTACAATATACAACTATGTATTTGGGAGATTTGGGAAGAAAAAGCAGAAAAAAAAATTATAAAACTATTCCTCCCCCTAGGATCATAGATTATTATTCTCCAGTTAGATGGATTCTTAAACAGGTGAATAACCATATTTGGAGTGTATTGATAATAACCTTAATCTTTAGCAATTGATAAGATATACATGTTATATTGAAAAAAATCAGTTGCACAGTTACACAGTAAGGAAACTGATAATGCTGGTTGTTCAGTCCTATTTTAAAAACAAACTCAGTATAAGTTATGAGACCTGTTAAAAAGTTGTTACTTTTTATGCAATTTAAGCTACATTACAGTAAGTATGGCATCCGGATGAGGGAAGGTGAGAGCTCCAATCTGTGCTAATCAAACAGTTTGTATAGTTCTGTGTGCTTGTTGGGTCAGGGACTAAACCAGCTGCTCGGATACAAAGCTGAGAGACATAGCCCACTTACCGGAGAACTGCAAGTGAGTGATGACAGGTTAACGAAAAGCCAGAAGCCAGCATCCAGGACCTAGACCACAGAGGCTGGGGACAGCTTTTAAGGAGGAGGCGACATACAGAGCAGGGGCTGTGGAGGTGCAGCTGTGGCCCTCACTACCTATGGGACCTTGTATATGTTCAAACCTCACTCTGTCTCAGTTTCTTCGTGTGTGAAATGGAGTCAGTAATTATATATTTCGCGCTGTTGTCCCAAGCATTGATGCAGTGATGTATACGTGGGGAGCCTAGACTCTAGCACATAGAGATAGCTCAGAAAATGACTGGAATCCCGTTCTGAAGTGCTGGAAGGTTGGAGTTGTCCCAGCAGAAGGGAAGGTGTGTGCCAAAGCTGGGGTGGTTGAACTGGGGCCTTTCCGGAACTGCAGAGTATTTAATCAGAGTGGAGTTAGGGTGCATGTGGAGGGAGTAGTTGAAGACGAAGCTGGGCAGGAAGCAGGGGTGAGATTTCCAAACAGGAACTTTGTGGCGTGTTGAAGAGTCTGAGAGGTGGTTAGGAAGTGTTGTGGAGTCTTTGAAAGCCTCAGGTAAGGGAGTGTCCAGAACAGTTTCTCCAGGTGAAAGACTGATTTGTTATAGATGTGTGGAGGGGCTAGGAAAGCTGTTTGAAGTAGCAGATCCGGTGGTGCTCAGCCCTGGCTGCACGTTGGAACCATCTGGAAAACTTGTAACAGTCCAATGCCCAGGTTCACTCCAGATCAGTTATATCAGCAGTTCTGGGGGTGGAGCTCAGCCATTGGTACTTTCTGTTGCTTCCCAGATCATTCCATTGGGCAGCCACAGCTGTGAACTGCTGAGCCGGAGGATAACTGTGTTCAAACCAGATCTGATAAAGTTCCAGTTAAACAAGTGCCAGTGGTAGGAACCAGGGTGAGGAGATGACAAGTAGGATCTGGTGTTCAGTTGAAGGAGGAGGGTGTTGACTATTGCTGAATTGAGTCGCTGGGTGCATGATGATCGTATATTAAGGTTCAGTCATATTCCAAGACTGACAAGAGGAAGGAGAAGCAGGTTTGGGTACTTGCTGAGTGGGCACGAGAAAGATAAAGAATTTGGTTTCAAAACGTGGATATTGAGGGAAAATGATACACAACCAATGAGCAGAGAGAGAAACTGAAGGGGAGGAGCAAGTGGTAGAGCTGGAAACTCAGGAGACAAGATAGGTAATTGAGTGAGATTCCTGAAGAGACAGGAAGTGCAGAGCAGGTATGAAAGGAGTAATTTCCATGAGAATTTCCACTCAGAGAGATGTCAGTAAAACTGTGTGAGGGTGCAGGTAAGTTCACAGGCTGAGGAAGAAGAGGTATAATTTAGCCCGTTGGCCTGGTCTCCTTACTGCAGGAGCGGTGAGTATTTGCTGAGACTTAGGAGATAAGAGAAGGGGATTAAGTATGACAAGCTTTAGAAGAGCTAGGGAGGGGACCATCTGAAGAAGGAGACTGAGAAAGAGCTATCTTTCTAGTCCTCTTAAATGTTGGTTTTCCCCCAGAGTTTTAATATTGACCCTCTTTCCCGTACACCCTGGGTGATCTCGTTTGTTAAATTAGATTACACTGTTGTCTTCTAGGAGAAACGTTCGTAGACTGAAGTTTGTCTTGAGGAATTAAGTTGTTGATCATTTTAGTTCAGAAAGTTATTGATTTTTTTGTTTGTTTTGGGGGTAGCACTTTGCTACCTTCAGTTGAAATTTAAAGTGTTGAAATCACCAGAAAACATTGTACAGATCCCATGATTTCCAGCATCACTAAGCAGCATCATATTTTTTTCTCTATTATAATAAAACCTCAAAAAACTACCAACTCAGCATTTTGAAAACCATGTCAACTTTTAGTATATTTTATATTATACAATAAAGAAATTCTAATAGATATTTATTTTACTTCATACATCTTTTTTGTTCAATGATACCTAGTAAAAAACTAACTAGATTTCTCAGCTCTGATATAAACTGTGATTCGCATTACTTATTCTCTAAATACTTGTCCCTCTGAAACACCAACTAAAAGTCTAGTAGTTAATTGCCAGGTAGACTGAACTATTTATTTTATAAATTTCCATTTCAGAACGAAAAATTGTATACAGTACAACAAAGCAATTGTTAGTATGACTTTTCAGTAAGGCTTCTTGTTTGTAACTTACTTACTAAGATAATTATAAATTACTTAAGCAAAACTGGGGTCAGGACCATGGATGTATAGCTAGAACATGGCCTTGGTACTGAAGAACATTAACCTCATGTTCTGATATCATTTCAGGTAACATTTCATTTGTTGCGTTTCCAGTTTCCAGCACCAACTCACCAACAAAGATTTTACCAAAAACCTTAGGACCAATAAATGTGAATGTTGGACCCCAAATGGTAAGAAAATCATCAAATCTTAGAATTTGAAACTTTGCTTAGTAAGAGAGATAATTGTACAAAAGATGCTTGGGTCAAATATTCCAGTTAATTTCTTGTCTCAATCACTTTTGTAAAAAGTTTTGTTTTTATCTGAATGTAACTGATTAAGTCTCGAGAAAAGAAATGCATTGTGCTCTTCAGTGTTTCGTTTTCACATATTTGATCTGTGGATTTTGGATGTGTAATATTAAGGTTTTTGCTCCCTATGTGAGAGTTGTCTTGTTTTTAGTTGTTTAATTAGATTGGTTTGAAATCTGTTATGTTTTGTTTTCCTCCTTTTTTCTTTTTCTTATATAATAACCTTTACTGCCCTAAACTATGTACTTACATGTAATTTGAATATGACCCAACAGTTAATCTGTGTCTGGAGCTATTAATTTTAAACTCTTTGATTAAAGGAAATTTGGGGAAAAACAACACGCCAATTTATTTTAATCTTTAACAGTAGAAATAATGGATGAAAAGTGGAAAATATTTAACTGTTTTCTCTGAATTATGCTAGACCTTGAAGCATATAGCACTTTTGGAAAGGCTTATTTATAAACAAAGTTGCATGCAACTACTCAAAAAACTATACCTAATTTAAATGGCCTTACCCACCATTAGCAAAAGCACGCAAACATTAGAACGATAACTTTTGGTTGTCAGTGCTTACATCTTCTCATCTGTGGAGCAATAGGGATAAATTTTGCCCATCATGTACAGTATTGTGGACTATGTGAAATGCAAAATTATTTAGACAAAAATATCTTTCAACATACTTAATGCCTTCAGAAAGTCTAAGATTTTAAGACATTCTAGACATGACATTTTTCTTGGTCACTTGAGGACAGTTAATCATCTGCAGAATTCAAGCTAAAGATCTTACACAATTTACTGTAACTATGTGAAGAATGTAATCTAATGCTCCTAGAGACTTAAGCTCAGGTAAGTGTCCCCATTTCGAGGTGGTTCAGGGTATGTTCTCGAACATTTGCTAGGCATGTGCCCCTCACCACCCACTACAGTAGGTGCGGATGAGATAAGGCACCTGGCTTTGAAGTCTTTATTTTGGAATGTGGTTATATAAACACCAAAATTAAACAAACATACCTGAACTTTTATGCATTTGGTGCTTACAGTGCTCCTGTATTTTGAGCGACTATTTCCTCTTGGTATTTCAGTGATGCTGCTGTGGCTCACATTTGAATTCCTCTTTTGGAAACATCATCTTTCTTCCTGTTGTCAGTTTGAGGCAATGTACGTGTGAGCCTTTGCACGCTTTAGTTCTGGCCATGATGAGTGTCGTATACCCCACCTACCCAATTACAGCAAACCTCCGAATCAGCACAACGAAGGTCAGTGAAGGAGAGGAGGTTAAACCAGGGGCTCTCCTTTAACCCAGGCCAGCCCAAGGCCTTAATGTGTGTCCCTGACTCTGAGGTACCTTTTGCAGCTCTAAGTTCTTAGGCAGGAATCAGAGTTTTCTTTTTGGTTTCCTAATTGTTATAACCCAAATTAGAGCCATTTCTCTTTTCTCCTCTTTAGTCTCTTTTGAACATTGTCCCTTCACCTTCAATCTCTTACTTATGATTTTAGAAAACTTTTTAGTTAGAAAATTCTTGATAAAACCTCACCTATATGCTTCTTACAATCATCTTTCTCAGTCACCCTTTAGATTTCACATGTCTCTTTGAAAGCCAAATCTTAGTGGTAGAAATTTCAAAAAGCCCTAAGAAAAGAGTTTTGAGTTGTTTTCCATATTTGAACAAACTAGTTTAGTAATAGTTGTTTTAGTTTAGGATACTTGCCCTTTTCTTATAGGTATCTGGTTGTCTGTATAAGACAATCTCATGGTTATCTTTATTTTAACATGGTTAAAAACTGCATGTTTTGGGGCCCGCCCAGTAGCATAGTGGCTTGTGTTCACGTGCTGTGCTTCAGTGGCTTGGGGTTCGCAAGTTTGGATCCTGGGCACAGACCTATGCCCTGCTCATCAGTCCATGCTGGGGTGGCACCTGCATACAAAGTAGAGGAAGATTGGCACAGGTGTCAGCTCAGCAACAATCTTCCTCACCAAAAAAAGAAGAAGAAGAAAAAAAGACAATCCCCTCCAAAAACTACATGTTTCTTATGGTGAAAACTAAAATTTGGTTAAATAATGAAAACCTTTAATATAACACCTTAAAATTATATAGATTGTTTTCCCCTTCAGAATATAGGTGCTCTCTTGGCTTTTCTTACTGTAGATGGCAGTAGTACATAAGATGTGTTGATTGAGGGCAAAATGTCTTAAGAATGAGCTTCAATTGCTATATAATTTTCATAACCTAACTGTAGTCTGTTGTCAAAGAAACCACTTGATTACATTTAAATTAAGGATGCTTTGGGTTTTTTCAGGGGGAGGGGCACTGAAATTTAAAATAAATATTCATTTTCCTTTTCAGATCAACTGGATATTAGAAGTATGTTTTTACCTCTTGATTTTAATTTAGGATTTCAGAATTAAAGTTCAGTACTATAAAGTATATCTGGCTCATCATCACTATTAACTAACTTGCCTTTGTTTAGTGGTTGATCAAGTTCTGTCGCCCTTCCTCTGGTTTGTTTCTTAAGGCTCGCTCTCATTGTCCTAGTTTTGGAACTCGCTGCATCTCACATGAGCTTCTAACTTGTCTTTCCAGTTCAAGTCTATCATTCCTCCAGTTTGTTCCTTCAGGAAATGTTTATTCAGGACTTAGAGTAGTCCCTCCTTATCCTCAGGGCACATGTTCCAAGATGCCTAGTGGATGCCTGAAACTGCGGGTAGTACCGAACCCTATGTATACTGTGTTCTTTCCTGTACATACAGACCTATGATAAAGTTTAATTTATAGATTAAGCACAGTAAGAGATTAACAATAGCTAATAATAAATAGAGCAATTATAACAATACACTGTAATAAAAGTTACCATAGATCTTAGCCACCTCAGCATATGATTATTTTTCTTCCTTATTAAGTGGAGAACTTTCACCTTTTCACTTAAAGGAAGCACTTTATGCCTTGTCTTTGGCGTATCTGAATTGCTAGCGTCACTGCTCTTGCTTTGGGGCCATTATTAAGTCAAATAAGGGTGACTTGAACCTAAGCACTGAGATGCCACAACAGTTGACCTGATAACCAAGAGGACTACTGAGTGACTAAGGGGCGGGTAGTGTATACAGTGTGGATACGCTGGACAGAGGGAGATTCACGTCCCAGGCAGGAGGGAGCAAGATGGCACGAGGTTTCATCCTGCTACCTAGAACAGTGTGCCATTTAAAACTTAAGAATTGTTTATTTCTGGAATTTTCCGTGTAATAATTTCGGACGGAGATTGACTGCAGGTAACTGAAACTACAGAAAGTCAAACCATGGGTAAGGCGGGACTGCTGTACTATGTACCAGGCCCTGTGCTGAGAGAAGGGAACAGAGTACTGCTGGTCACGCTCAGAGAAGCAAAGAAAATTAGTTGACAAGCTGACACGGAGGAAGAAAAAATAAACTAGAGCACAGCAATTCATTTACAAAGTCATTCTCAATAAAGATAACCAGTTTTTCTCTATGTATTATCTCCCTTCCTCCTTTCTTCTTTTTTTTTTCCTGCAAAGCCCTTTAAATCTGGTAAAACTGAGCCTGCAGGTTACTAAGAGCAGATATAGAAAATGAACCCCTTAGTAATAAAACTGCAGAAGTAATGCAGTCTGTTCTGAGGGTGAGTCAGAATGCTGAGAATTGCTTTCTGGAGACTCCTGTTGTAGGAATAGAGTAGACCAGAGACCGACCAAATACGGAGATTTTCCTTCTTAAGCTGTCACAGTCAGGGTCAGAGTGATAGAGGACATTTGAATCTGTGATGGTAATGGGTGAGAACTGTGGAGTATTTGTATTTGATTTATGTCGTAGAGTATTTTCTTACTGAATTTTGTATAATCCTTTTTTAGCATGTCAATGAACAGAAAAGCTACTTTTTCCATCATTTTAAAAGCTGGGTCTTCTGTCTCAGTTCAGTATGTGTCTGTTGAGCCTTTCCTGTGAGTGTCTCCTAGTGCTGTGCTGGGCCCCGCAGACGCTCTCTCTACCCTTGAGGATCTGGCACTGAGTTGGAGGGGAGGAGGTAGGGTGGGATGTGGTGAGGGGTAGGAGGTAAGAACACATTGTCTGGTGTTCATATTTTCTCATGAGGCAGGCTTCTGAATGCCTTGTTTAATAGTCCTTGGCATATTGTAGAGAATCAGAATTCTCCAGACATCTGTCAGTATTTATTGTCTTTCATTTTAATTTTTTTTGCTACATAGTTAACTTATTAAAATTATTTCCTAAGCATTTGTATCTAGTAATATCTCCCTAGCCCCAAATTCGCATAGTACCAAACACAACAGAAGGTAACTCAAGTTCTTAAGTGCTTAGTAAATGAATAGGTGTTGAGTAGACTTTAATAACTAAGTCTGAACTGAGCTTGAAATCCAGATGAATCCTTCCCTTTGGTTCAGTATGGAGCAGGTTAGCAACTAACTCAATGACTGAGCTTAAACTCTAGCTGCAGAAACAGGTTTCATTTGATCAGAGACAAAAATTAGTTAGCATTTTGACTTACATAAGGCAGAGAAATAGAACTGTTTCTTTTGTTCTAAGAACTGTCAATAAAAAATGATATGTAGTCCATATTGATGCTTTTCCCTCTTAATTGGGATTTAAGCAAAACTGTACTATTATGGAAAATTTCAAAACTATACAAAAATAGAACCTGTGTGTCCAGCATCCACCCCTTCAGCAATTACCCACATAGGCCAATCTTGTTTTATTAATACCCCCATTCGCTAGAGCGTGCTCTTGTTTTGTTTTGTTTTGTTTTAAGAAAATACTTTTAAAGATATTACCAGGAGACCAAATTGGTTTTTGTATTAATTATTACAAAAATTTTTGGAAACAACATGTTCTATTCACCAGTGAAAATTGTAAGATCTGAAAAGTAATTTGGTAACACATTATCAAGGGACTTTTTAAAAAATCCATTTTCTTAGTTCCATTAATTCTTTTTCTGGAGTCTATTCTTAGGAAATAGAAATTAAGGCCAAGATCACTATGCAAAAATGTTTATCACAGCATTACTTAGAATGTTGAATAATTGAATATCCATATACATAACAATAGGAATAATAAATCCACATGATGGAATGTTTTCCAGTCTTTAAAATGTCTTTGAAGAGTATTTAATGACATGAGGAAATTTTCTTGGAAAAAAGATATATTATTATCTGTATAATAATCCAAATTGTGTATCGTCTTTGCATCTGTAAGGGACTGTGAAGATCTGATGTGCAGGGACCCTAGTTCTAGTCAGCCAAGCTCAACTGCAATTAGCTTCTATAATTTCAAAGAAAGCTTTTAATTTTTCTGATTTTTAAAATATTATCAGTTGCTAGCTTAATCCTTCCAAATTGTTCTTCACTTGTTGAAACCTGTTTTGTGACCTCATGTCAGTATTCAGGATACGTGTGCTTTAAGATCCTAGGATATAAGCGAATCAAAGGTGTTACCCATATTTTAGATGATTGATATTAAGTGCCTTTTAGGCAGTAATGTTTCCTCTTTGTATGTAGGTTAGCATTCAACATTATTTTCTGCCTGTAGGCTTTTCTTAATAACTAAGAATATTGTTTTCTTTGTCCTGATAACTTTACAGATTATAAGTACACCACAGAGGCTAACCAGTTCAGGAAGTGTTCTGATTGGGAGTCCATACACCCCTGCACCAGCAATGGTTACTCAGACACACATAGCAGAAGCTGCTGGCTGGGTCCCAGGGTAAGAGTGTTGTTGCATGTTACCATTTATAAAAAATTTTTTTTCTTTTACTTCTGACCTTTTTTTCTCACTATCTTACCTTCTGTTCTTGTTTTATGTTAGTCTAGTTCTTAAAAGCTAATATGTTTTAAATCACCTATTTTATTTCACTTTATATCTTAGATATAAATCCTCTCTTGAGCAATCTTTTTTTTTAATCCATCCCTCATCAGTCTTTTTTTTTTGTTTTTAACTTTCAGGTGTACATCGTAATATATTTTGAATTCTGTGTAGATTACATCATGTCCACCACCCAAAGGCTAATTATGATCCATCGCCACACACATGCGCCTCATCACCCCTTTCAGCCTCCCCCTCCCCCCTTCCCCTGTGGTAACCACCAATCCAATCTCTGTTGCTATGTGTTTGTTTGTCGTTGTTTTTATCTTCTGCTTATGAGTGAAATCATATGGTATTTGACTTTCTCCCTCTGACTTATTTTGCTCAGCGTAATACCCTCGATGTCTATCCATGTTGTCACAAATGGCTGGATTTCATCATTTCTTATGGCTGAGTAGTATTCCATTGTGTATATCTACCACATCTTCTTTATCCATTCATCCCTTGATGGGCACCTAGTGGAGCAGACATTTTTAAACAGAGAAAAACAGTACAGTAACTTGTAACTGAGTCTTCTGACTTTTTTCAGCTCTGAAAGAGGACTGCTTTTTTGATTATGACATTTAGCTGCTTTGGAGATGTAAAAACTATATTTTATATTGCTTTAGCAAACATTAGAAAAGAGTTAAATATTAAATGTTGCCTATTCTCAGAATTTCCCCTGTGCATTCTTATTTCCTTAAAAACCAGAAAGGAAACTAGGAAAAAGAGGCCCATATATGTTAGAATTTTCATTGTTTTCCCTTGATTCTTTTTAAACCCTGGGCAATTAAATCAATATCTTTTCTGCGTTACTTGTTTGCCACTTTCAGTATCAAACCTTTACATGTTTCATCTTTGCCTTTAAAATACCCTTACCAAACCTTTCTCCACCCCTTATCATTTTAGCATCTCTTCCTTCCATAAGAGAAAAAGAAATACTAAGACAAATGACTGGAAACTTCTTTTTGTCACATTAGAAGTTATTTCCATGATGGCATACTGCACTGGTAGTTCTATCGTTGACTTAGAATTGTGAGTTCTAGCAAGCAGACGGTAAATCTTGGTTGAGTAAGAATCTCCTTGTTTTAAGGATATTAAATGAATTAATGAAATAATCCTGGCAAAGTAATTTAAGCCATATACATATTCATATACGTGCATACACACATGTGCCTATGTATATGCACTTTAGAGACAGAAGAGTTTCATATGTATACGTATCTTTCCATTATTGCATGAGATGAAATTACAGAATCACGTGTAATCCCGTGACCTTTATTTAGTCCTTAAGAACATTCTCATGTAGATCTAAAAGTTGGCTTGGACTTCTACATAGCCTCGAGAGATTATAACACAAAAACCAAACCTGCACCAGCTAGGCCTCTGCCCACTTTGGAACTGATCAGGGTTTGGATATTTTCAGCCCCAGCTGTGCTTTATATCAGAGGTGGTATGATTGTCTAGTGTTTTTACAGTCAGTCATTCTAGAGTGAATAAAACTTTTGTGTACCTTCTCCTTTGTAAATCTACAATATTTTCTTCCCTAAAGCTTCATTGAGCTCATTTTAAACTATGACTGTTTTAGGTGTGATTTCTTAGTCCTATGATAAAATTTGTTTTTATTTTATGTACATATCTTTTACATTTCTTAGTTTTTGTGTTTGGATATATTCAGTGTGGAATTAGACATTACAATAAATTATTCATGAAGTAAAGTTGTCTTTATATATGTTCTTTTTATGTTATCTTTTTTTCTTTTTAGTGATAGGAAACGGGCTAGAGAATTTATAGACTCTGATTTTTCAGAAAGGTGAGTATAAGTGTAAATATTTTGTTTGGGAGGTGCTGCTGTGTAGAGAGGGGTGTGCTGCCGAGGCTGCGCTCTAGTTTAAGTAATGAGATGTTTTTCTTCACATAACTTTAGCTTCATTGAGTGTCTACCGTTATTTCATTCCGCACTGAGTATTCTACTTCACTCATTATGACATAAATTTATTATATTTGTATGATTTCAAAAGAAATTATCCTGTGAGTAGATGGGCTGTTGATAGTATGCTGCTTAGCCCCCCCCCTCCTTTTTGGGAGATGAAGTATTCTACCAAGGTGAACACTTTCACATGACCCCAACATGCCCACCCTTTTAAAAACAAGTTTGATTGAACACATTTGAGATCAGTAAATTCTCGTTCTTTCTTAAATGATACATCAAATATAATATCACCTTTCCTTAGACTATTAGGACAGTGCTTCTCAGTTCTCAGTATGCATCAGATTACCTGTGGTCTTTTGAATAAAATATAAATGCCTACCAGGTCAGAAACTCCAGGATTAAAAACTATCACTTTAGGGTCATTATTTGAACTTAAGTTCAATATTCCATGCAAGCCACTCTACTAGGTACCATATTAATGTTGTACTATGTTAAAATAAGACACAGTCTCAGGTGCAGTTGAATTCTGTAAAAGTGTTAGTATTTTAAGTAAAACCTTGACAGCTATGCTTTTTAATTTTATTTTTAATTTTAAAATTTTGTAATTCCTTTTTTCAGTGGAGTTTTAGTCTCCTTTCTCCTCTTAGGTCACCATTCTCCATGTAATAATTTTCTGTCTTCTCCATTTTCTAGTTTGCTATCTCTTATTTGCTGTGCACTGAGAAACTAGATGGCCAAATGTGTTAGAATTCAGTCTAAAATAAAGGTGAATAGGCTCTGAGTGAGGATGGTGGTGTTATACATACAGAATGTGTGTTTTCTTGCATTGACACTGGCCGTGCTGTAGTTTCTTGGTGGCCTTGGTTGCTTGTTTCTTGGTTCTTAACTATTTTGAACAGATAAAATCATGTCTGAGGAACTGCTTTGGTGTATAGAAATATACGGCTAAATGCTCTTTTCTCTCTAACGGAAATTCCTCTTTCCGACTCATACTAGTCGTTCCTGGTGTTTATCCTTGGCAGCGGCCGCAGTACAAGTTCTAATAGATGTATTTGCAGTGTTTAAGGCCTTAAAATGGTTATGATTGGTGGCATCTTTGTACTACAAAATCTGTAAAGAACAAGATCTTTTTACTCTCCTTCGTAAGAGGGAGAACTCTAAAGATCACATATAAAAGTACTAGATTAAATTTGTTGGTATAGCCATTGATTCAACTTTCTCTTTCTGCATTTGGATCAGTGGCTTTTTTTTCTTAGTGCTTTTTAATTATTGCCTTTTTGTTTATTTATTTTTATTTTTATTTTTTTTAAGATTTTATTTTTTCTTTTTCTCCCCAAAGCCCCCCAGTACATAGTTGTGTATTTTTAGTTGTGGGTCCCTCTAGTTGTGGCATGTGGGATGCCGCCTCAGCATGGCTTGATGAGCGGTGCCATGTCTGCGCCCAGGATCCGAACCAGTGAAACCCTGGGCCGCTGAAGTGGAGCACACGAACTTAACTACTCGGCCACAGGGCCGGCCCCACCCTTTTTATTTTTTAATAAAACTTTTCTGTAAGGAATCCCACCACCCCCTCCAATTAAACCACAAGGATTCTTACGTGTGCTTTTTTTGACGTAAAAAACATCTTTTTTACAGATGTTTATTTTCCTCCAAATTTACTGTGTTTTCCTGTAATGCTGTGAAAAGTCTTTGTTTCCCTTTCCCAAGCGTTGAGGTTCAAAAAGCCAGCTCTCAACCCTAGATTAATCTTGAGATTAGTTCATCCATCTCTTCAGTGTCTTGTCTGTTGATTTAGTATCATTTGTGTTTATATTAGTTTTCCCCGGGGATTTATATATATATTCTCACACTGATATATACAAGCTTTTGTCCTCTTCTTACCACTTGACAGTACCACTTTGAGTGTGTTTTACACAGCTATAAGAAGTCATTTGCAAGAGCTGGTCAGTTTCTCAAGAAATCCTGTTTGGTGAAGAATCTACTAAGAGATTCTCAGCTTCCCCTGGTTCTGACCGGCTGGGATTCTGTTCACAGAGCTCATGGAAGGAGCTGCCGGAGCCCCGCCTGGTCTTGCCTGGGCTGTTGGTCCTGGACGATGTTTGTTCACTTTCTCTTTCTTCCTTTGGACAGAATGGAATGGTGTCTTCTAAGTGCATCTCTTCCAAATAGGTCTGCCTTTCGCTTTGGGACCTCTGTTGGGGAAGAAGGTCCTGGGTGCACCATGGGCAGTGGCCGCAGCCTGCGTGGGTTTTTCTTTAATCTTGTCCTGAACGGATAAGATTTAGTCCAGTGGGGTTTCGTTCTTCCTTTGTAGTCATGTAATCTCAGTATCTTTTTTTCTGTTGAAATATAATTAAAAATCTATTTATAATAAGCTAATAATTTATATTGAACTAATATAATTTAAACTACAATAAGCTCATAGTAATAATCAAAATCAGTGTAGTTAATATCTGTACTGCTTCAGTGATGTTTATGAAGTTGTTCATTCGACAAATATTTTGAATATCTGCTAAGTGTTGGTATGTTCTAAACATCGGAGAGAATAATAAACAACATAGATAAGTCTCTGCCCTTAAAGAGATATTTGGTGGGGGAGGGGGACAATAAATGAGTAAGGTAATTTTCTATTGTGATAGGTGGTATGCAAAAAAACTAAGGTGGGTGATTTGTAGAGTATTGGAAAGATGGTGGCTACCTTAGAGAAGGCCTCTCTCTTCTTTGAATGCAAAGAAGTCAGGCCTGTAAATAGCTCGGGTAAGGTGCGGGGACCAGGGATTCTAGGCAGAGGGAATGGCAAATGCAGAGCTCAGGTTGGTGTATTTGGGGAAGCACAGTGGGCTGGAGATAGTGAGAAAGGCAAAGAGTGATAAGAGATGAGGATGGAGCGGTAGGCAGGAGTCAGGTCCTTAAAGGCCTTGTAGGTCATGGTAGAGAATTTGGTTTTTATTCTAAGGAGGGTTTTAAGCAGGGAAATGACATGATCTAATTTATACTGGCTGCTGAGGGGGAAGTGGATTCTGAGGAGACAAGAACAGAAGCAGGGGAATCACTTAGAAGGCTATTGCATGGGGCAGTGGCGATGGAAAAAAAGTGGATAAATTCTAGAGTTAGAACCAACAAAGTTTATTGATAGATTGCATGAAGGAAAGGGGGAAATAAAAGGTGGCTCTTGTTTTTTTGCATGAACAGCTGGGTGAATATTGATGCCGTTTACATTTACTGTAGTTAAGGGTAGGTTTGGGGAGGAATTGAGTTTTGTTTTAGATGTATGAGGTTTGAGGAGTTTGTTATCCAAGTGGTGATACCATTAGTATATATATACATATATATATATAGTGTCATCAGCATGTAACTGGTCACAGGCCCAGGTGACGTTACGCAAGGAGAGAGAGAGAATGAAAATCCATGAGGAATAAACATTTATTTCCCATTTCAAACCCACCCTCTTGCCCCTACACACATGTGCACATACAATGGATATATACTTACAGGAAGGTGAGGGGTTTTTAAAAAATTATTTTACTAAATTACTAAATTATTTTGCTGATTTGAACAGTCTGGTTGACTCATTTTAATGAGAAATGAAGTTTTTATTGTATATTATATATGATTCCTTATTTAAATGGAATACATTTATTATAACTTATACCTGGGATATACTGTTTTATACCACAAATTTTAGTTTTATATTACTTTTGTAAATGACAGTAAATTATTATTGGGAAACATGAAAGGACAGTGGTTATGCATTCTAGTTAAATGCCTGGAAAGATAAATACTTTTTCTTTTAGTCTTTGGGTACAATTTTTTGAATACTTCAAATGAAACTGGTAATAAAACATAACATACTTTCCAAACTATGGTATACTGGTGGTTTTATATTCATATTTATTTTTTAACTTCTCAATTTGATAAAGAATGTTTCCTGCTGGTTCCTTTATTTGATTTATGGACTAATAGAGATCATAGTGTTTACATTCTATAGCCAGATTTTGATGTTATTTAGAAAGAGGTTCCGGGTGTTTCAAAGAGCTCAGGTTCTAAGAAAATGTATAAACTGTATTTATTTAAGATTCAGATAGGGAGCGTCCAGTTTAAGAAGATTAACTGAACACTCATGTTTACACTCCCAACCGCTAAGATTTTACTGCAATTATAGTGTAAAAAATTAACAAAAGGAAATAAATCTCTAATAGTGCTGTAAAAAGTGGTACAGGTATAGATTTTCCAGTTGGAATGTGAAAGCTGGTGTGATTATAATGAATGACGAGTGAAAGTAGAGAAATCCACATCCCCAAATATGCGTTAGAGAAGTCAGAATTGGAGATGGAAGTCGTTCTCCCCTGCACCGACATAGAGAGGCACCAGGCTTAGAGTTGACAGGTATAGAAAGCGAGAATACATAGGTGGGAGAGGTAATGGGGACACTAAAATGAAGACTGTAGAAGGAACACCAGTGGAACGTTGCCAACCATTTACATCCACTTGTACCTCCCATCTTATCTCCAAACACATAGAAGTTACACCAAAGACATTTGTTCCCCAGGCTGAAACTTGGAGAATTGATCTCAAGGAAACAGAACCATTGCCTTGGTTGAGTTTGTGACTGGCTTCTTTCGCTTAGTATATTTTCAAGTTTCATCCATGTTGTGGGCATGTATCAGTACTTCGTTCGTTTTTATTGCTGAATAATATTCCATTGCATGGATATACCATATTTTGTTTGTAATGATGGACATTTAGGTTATTTCCACCTTTTGGCTATTATGAATGATGCTGCTATGAACATTTGTGAACAAGTTTTTATATGGATATAAGATTCATTTCTCTTGGATATATACCTAGGAGTAGAATTGTTGAGTCATATGGTAATTCTT